AATACACTGCTAGCATTTTGCTATTTGGGTTGATGACAATAACTATAATATTTTATAGTATGGTCATGTGATCAAATTTGTTTGCAATATATTTATATAAATTACTGCACAGTTATAACATTGAATCTTGTATTCTTTTAAAGCTTATTTGACTCGGAAATATTATGCACATTTCTTTTTTTCATATATTTTCTTATTCTTTTAATATTTTCAGGATTTCCATTTACTTCATCGTCAACACCTACAGCGAAATGCTTCCGAAGTTTCTATGATTGGTTTTCCAATGTCATTGAAATTGTTCCTTTGGCATTACTGACTTCTGGTATATTAAGCGCATATCAGGTAGATGAAAAGATTCGTATGCTATTATTATTTTTTGGTATAGTACCGGTATTTTTTCCATTATCGATGAAACAGAAAGAAGGTCAAATTAGAAAATTACGTTTTTTGACTAATATTACTGTCGTGCTGCAGATTTTAGCGATAACGATACTTGGCTTGAAAAATGGCAATTATAATGTTATTAGTTTGGTTGCTTCCTATACTTTTGAACGTTTCTTTGTGGAAGAATTTTGTTATCGGTATAATATACCATATACTGATTTGATGCAATATTGCATATGTTTTGTCGAAGTCTTTACAGTGTCAACGCTAAAAGAGTTATAAAAAATGTAAAACTTCAACTTTACTTACTATGCATCTGCTATTCTATTTCTGGTAATTGCTATTCAAAATTCAGTAAATTGTTTTATTATATTGAGTACAAAGAATGTCAATTCTCAAAATAATATAAAGAAATCTACTGTTAATTATAATACTGCTCTACAAATCTACACTGTTAATTATAATACTGCTCTTCTAACAATTGTTCGATAATAATGACGGGATATGTAATAATAGCGTTGATTTTACTATCAATTTGTAAATTAATTGATTTAGGTTGGAACAGTGATTTTGCTAAACTTTCATATGTATTTTACAGTACATGTGTCAGAAAGTACTGCCATATATCGTCAAAATAGAGTATAAATTTCGACCTATAACATGTCATTCAAATATATGAAAAACATTCTATACCTTCTATTTCTTTTTCATATTCTACTTATAATAAAAATAATTTTTAATCTTTTTTGGTAGCAATTTGATATATATTATATATTTATATAATATAATTAAATAGAAAAAAGAGCAGCATAAACTTTCTGATACAGTTAATGTGTAGCATTAAAAAATAATTCGAAATGTTGGATTTATTGAACGATCTTGCAATGACAAGCTGAAAAGATAAAATCCAAATCAATTTGTATCAACTTTTTTACTTATATAAAGTGTATGTATAAAGAAAATATTTAATCGCCGGCCTATTTAAATATATACAATTGGCTATAAATATAATCTTTTCATAATAATTTTAAATAATAATGACTGATAGTGATTTGTATAATTTTGATGTTCAGTATGTAAAAATTGTTATTTTAATTTATTTAGACAGACATTTTTCTGTCTAATTAGAAATTTTTAAGAAAATTATTCCAATAACGATGATTCTATTAAAGTACAATTTTCTGACTGATGGTCTCTAGTTCTAAGATTTACGTACTGCTATTTATCTATAGTTGTACATCGGTACATTTTATCTATAATCTTTTGATATGTAATTTATGATAATCAATTTTTCTTGCGCAATTTTGCTACAAGTGTATTGGGAATGTATATCACTTTTGAAGTAAAAAATTTTCCTTACAAATCTTATCGTATTATTTATTTTTTGATAATTGTGGTTTTCAAACATTTTTTTAGTACAAAAATATCTTTCATCAATATTATAAATCACATTGACGAATACGTTAAATTTGAACAATTTAAATGCACATACTAAACAAATGTTACTTGTTGAGTAATTATTTATGATCTAATATGTTCCTAAAATATGATGGAAAAATTTTGATTTATGACTTCTTATTTTCCACATTTGTACCAAGTGCATTTATAGAACGGAATATAGTCGGGATGATTTTAGAGGCGGTTTTGTCATGCGTTTATTTATTCTTAGCATCTGTTTCTAGTATCTTTACATTTCGAAGCTATTCGTGCAATGGTATTCATCCTTTCTGCTTATGTATATATATA